AAATATTGCAACACAGCAGCGGCCATGAGGGGACCATGCTCGCCGTCTCCTGCAGCTCAAAGATAATAAGACCTCCCCGAAAATAAGGCCAGGCACTTATTTCAGAGGTCAAAAGAAAATAAGACCCTGTCTTATTTTCGGGAAAAGATGGTAGTGGTGTTTTTTGGTGGTGTTGGAGACAACACTGATAAAAAAAATGCTAAGAACAAACACAACGAGTCACCATGTAAAAGAAAAGAAACTTTCTATGTGAGAAAAGTTGTATTTTTTAGATCGGTTGCCTATTCAACAGTTCATTTTCTCATTGCAGAATAATTCAGGAAGCTTCAGAGCGCCCTTCCTCCACAATGAAGTCCTGCAGAACTCAAGGGGCTTTCAGGAGGACAAGAAGAAAGGCTCTCTGGATCCTGCAGCGTCAGATGGAGAAGCAGATATTGGAGAAAAGACAGGAGAGCTTCAAAAGACCTCCGGAGAAGAAGGTCTTTCCTAAGAGCTGTGGAATTAGAACTTTATTGGAGCTTCCACAAGTGTAGATTTGACTGCCCATCGAGGTTTAATAGTAGACACATGTAAAGCAAGCATGCACCACCTTTGAGGCAAATGGGATAGAAGGTGAGGTGGAAGACACCAAAACAGGGATCAAAGAGGCAACCTGTTCTGAAAAGTTATAGGTGTTGTTACTTGAGGCCTAGAAGATTAAGCAGGAACTACACAGAACACCTGAGGTAAATTTTGATTTGACACGACAATTAGAGGCAAACCACGATTAAGACAGGGAAGATGGTGGTGACGGTGAAAACAGAGTATCTGGATTGATGTGGTAACTAATTTTAATTAGGCATTAAAAAATGAAGGAAAAAGAAAAAAGATAATCAAATGAGTGATATAGGCAGTTGAAATATCAAAATCCGAAACCTAGGAAATATTCTATTCCTTTCTTTAACACAAGGGTGCCCAAACTTGGCAACTTTATGACTTGTGGACTTCAGCTATGCCAGCTGGAGAATTCTGGCAGTTAAGTCCACATGTCTTAAAGTTGCCAAGTTTGGGCACCCTGCTTTAACAGAAGGTAGGAAACGGACACTGTGGCTCTTTGTGGTGGCTGAGTGCTTGGCATGCTTACCATTCTTGACTTGGATAGCAGAGCCCTGGCCTTGGAGGTGGACTACGGCTGGCTGGAAAACAGAAGAGAGCAGATTCAGATTAAAACAAGGTAGATTTCCCCTGTTTATGGAAATGCCCATATGCTCATCTTGAACATTTATAATATAGTCCTCAAATTGTGACCATTAATTCGGAAACTAGAAACCCCGGGCACTGAGTGATCTTTAAGCAAAGAGGCCCATGTCACTGTTTCTGGCAGTTACGCTCGTGAAGGCCCCTCCCGGGTCATTGAATGGACAGAGTGAAAGAATGGGTCCTCGAGAATTTCCCCCCTCCTCCATGCAGGGAGGGGAGACCCTCCTTGGGGCTGCAGGAATGAGCTGTCCACTTTCAACCTTCCCTGCCAGTCTCCCCACTGACTTTCAGGGAAAGCAGAAAAGATTGCAAATGGCAATCACAGGATTGTGAGGTACATCTGGTTGTAAATGCGAGTCACTTGCCTAGAGCTGAAATGTGGACATATTTCAGGGGGGAGGAGGGAGGCACAACTGTTTATAATGGCCAGAAGTGCTTTTTGGGCCATAATGCACCTTTCCCAGGCCATCATAACTTTGAAAGTTTGTTAAATGCCTGGTCGTAAGTTGAGGACAACCTGGAAGAGACCATGAATTTCTGACCCTGTGGAACTAAAGTCCATTCATTTCTATAAATAACTTATTTGGTCATCAAGAATTTCCTAAATGCAAGCTGTGAAAAACTGACACAAATTTGTGAAATTACAGCAAACAAGTCCTTTAGCAGTATAACATAAGAAAAAGATAGTAGATCTAATCTGATCACCTAGATTTTATGCAAAGATGAATGGATAGATAAATGTGGTCTGGCTGGAAAATTAGCATGTTTGCATTTAGAAATGAGTTAAGATTCATTTGTAATCAGGGTACCTGATGTTTTTCCCCCAAATGAAGTCACTGACCTGTGAATCCCTCGGTCCGGCTCTTTCTGCTGTGCCTGCAAAACAGTTTTTATATTGAGAGTCCTATATGAGCAAGCTTTTTAAAAAGCATCAAAATCCCCTGCTTTTAGGATTTCGTTGGTCTGAATATCTGCACTATATCTTGTTGGATACCTACTTCCTGCAAAGACACCTTCCATACCATCACATTGTATTTTACCCTTCTGCACCCCTCCCAGAGGGCTGGTGTCTTGTCACTCTTATATAACTGCATCCCCTTCCCAGCCCTAGTAGAAAACATTTACATTATTATTACTCTATTCTCCTCCCACTTTATTCATTTCCATTTATTAAAATGTCACCCTGTATCCAATAAAGCCGTGTTGGTGGACATGTGACATGCAGAGCCATATCAGCCAGCATGGCAGCCTTCAGCTTTTCGGCCTCCCAGAGGGCTGGAGGAGGCCATTTTCACCCTCCCCGGCCTTCAGGAAAGCCTCCGGAGCCTGGGGAGAGCGAAAACTCCCCCCCTCCGGTTGTGCACATGCACAGGTGTGTGCGTGTGTGTGTGTGTGTGGTGTGAGCATGCACAGGGGGGCTTGTACGTGTATGCACGGGGGTGGGTGGGCGTGCACACACACAGTTTTGCCACACCTTTAAAAAAAGGTTAGCCATCACTGCAATAAGGCATAATTCAGAAATGTCCTGAATAACAGTTAGTATTTCTTTTTATTATATTATCAATATATCGGAAAAAATACCTTGTTTCATAATTTATATTCAATATTCTTACGTGAGTATTTTATGTATTTGTAGACCTTTTAAACAGCTTAGGAATCCTCCTCCTCCATAACTTATGCAAAGTTGCATTACTCTTTTCCCATAGCTGCAACAATCTTCACATTTGTCCTCACGCTTAAACCACAGGCAGCTTCAGTATAAACTCAGAAATAGTTTGCAGCCATTCATCCAATGAAAGATGTGCTTCTTTGTAATGTGCAAAGTGACATAATAAGAGCCGTGGTGGCGCAGTGGTTAATATGCAGTATTGCAGGCTGTCTGCCCACTGCCAGAAGTTCAATCCTGACCGCCTTAAAATTGACTCAGCCTTCCATCCTTCCGAGGTAAAATAAGAAGCCAGATTGTTGGAGGCAAGAGGCTGACTCTTTAAACCGCTTAGAGAGGGCTGTCGAGCACCACAAAGCAGTATATAAGTCTTAGTGCTATTGCTATAACTCAGTCTTGCTCCTGCAAATTCACTGATCCCTGTTGCATTAAGAGAGAGGATTGGCTGTGAGTCTCCGCACAGAAAAGAGGAGCAAGAGATGGTTCTGGTAAGCCCTGGGAAGATTCCGTTGCTCATCTTTGACATTCTTCATGGGTTATGTGGAGATCAAGCATGTAGTTTGGACAATCCTCTATTCCAAGCATCTTTTGAAGTGACAGTTTCTCATATCCCTGTATGTGCCTACAGTCATTGCCCCCCCCCCCCACAGTTTGACAAGCACTATATAGTAGGGTGATAGTTTTAATCTTTCTTGCATGTATGTTCTCCCCCACCCCCTAAGTACTTACCGGTAGGACCTTGCAGGCCGGGGGGTCCCTGGGGGCCTGGAGGTCCTGGAGGTCCTGGAGGTCCCATCACCGTGGTACCTGGAATGCCAGGGATACCTGGGATTCCAGGGGGCCCTTGGGGTCCAGGTGGTCCAGGGGGCCCTTGGGGCCCAACAGGTCCTGGAGGGCCAGCCTTTTTGCCTGTGGAAATACAGGATTATGTTTTCATTTGTATAAACATGGCTGCTGAGCAACAAGGGCAGATTCTATGGCTTCCTGGGTATGAAGGGGTTGCTTAGCAGGTCTGACGCCATTACTTCCTCCAGTAACTCATCCACGTATAGTTCTTTGAAGGTATGCAGGGGACCAACGGAAAGAAGAGTGAATGTAGGTAACAGAAGGAACAGAGAAAGACAAGAAGTGTCCGAGTCCACCGGACAGCTGCTGACCACAATGAATATATCCCGAGAGCTGGGGATTGATATTGACCGTTTGCTATTGAGTCAGCAGAGACTGTAAGAGGAATATAAACGACCAGGGAAAAGGAATCCAGATTGATTAACGGAGCAATGAACTTCATTGTGAGAGTTCATGGAGAATTCCCAAGAGGCAATAAGAAGGAAAAGGAAAGTCTTAGGGGGAAACAAAGGGAAGCGTACAGGTCTCTGCACTCGTTTCCTGCAAGGCTGGTGAAGCTTTTGCGTTCCTGCCCGAGAGAAACCTGGCCTACATTTGAAAGCTTATGGCAGCCTTCAAGAAGAAGCCTGGGAGAAAATTGGATTGGAACAATTGGTTGTCCAACTACTGGATGAGTGATGGGGTGGGGGTGGGGGCTATGGACTGACCCTGTGTCTTGGAGACTGGGATAGCAGCTCCTCACCCCTGGCAGCTGAGTGACCTGAGGGAGGGGTTATGCTGGGTGGTGGAGTGAGGGGTGGGGTTAATGGCTGCCTTGGCCTGGGAGGAGGAAGCAAGGACGAGGAGGGCTCTGGGGGTAGAAGATGGGACAGGTTGGCCCCCGAGAGAGTGATGGGCAGGGAGGGGAAATAATGGGGCCCTGAAGGCAGTCCAGACCTGGGGGCTTTGGGCTCGCTGGCCGAAAGCAGCCCTGGCCAACTATTGCTCTTCAATACGACAGTCTGGAGACAGTCCATAGTTTGATCCCTGTTGCTCAAACCTGGGTGGGCCGGGAGTGGGTTATTCCCCTCTTGGGAAGTGCCACCTAAGGTGCCATTGTTGTCATCCCCGAGTCTTAGGCCCCTGCATGTGAGTCTCTCTGGGTGGAACTGGGCTTGAAGGGTTTGCAGCCGTGGTTAGGAACTTCTCTTCCTGAAGTGAACCATTCTGATTTCTCTTCATCTCTACTTGCTCCAGTGAGCTTGAAATCATAGGGTGGAATTGTTATTAGTCCCTTCGAGTCAGTCTCGACTCCTGGCAGCTGCTTGAACAAAGGCCTGCCATTTTCTGAGCAGGCTTTCAAAAGCTGCTCACCACAGGCTGCTTCCTAGGGCTGAGATGGGATACCTCGCCAGGTTCTTCCTGCCCAGCTGGCTTCCTGCCCAAGGCTGCCTTCAGGTTTTTAACCTGGTGTCTCAACCATTACATCAAATTGACTCTCCAAGTGTGGAATTAGCTCATCCTGTAATTTGGAAATTTTATTTCTACTTGTGCAATCTAAAATGGCGTTTATGTGTTTTGGAAACTGCACTTCACAACTGATATTTACATCCAGTTTGTGATCAACCAGAATTCTTTTTTACAAGCAGTAGCTAAACCAGCATCCCCCATCCAGGCCTATTATTCTATTCCTGTAATCTACCAAGAAAGTCTCAAATTTTGCTTGGATTTTGCGGGTAGCCAGTCAGCTTCTGGGCCTGAATCAAAACCTCTATAAAACCCTAAATAACACTGACGTGAGACCTGACTGCCATTTGGGGTATTCCCACTCTCTAGACCAGCCTGCACAAGAGGGGGCAGAAAAGGGTCCTGGAATGGTGGATCCCCGTTATAAGTCAGGCAAGAGTCTTCTGCTTGGCAGGTTCAGGCAAGGTGGGCATGAATGTCTTTTTCACACCCAGACACAGGCTGCAGAGCCCCTCCCCAGGCTGCCCTCGCCTCCATCACTCTGGCAGGTGGCCCAGAGGGACCACATGTCATCCTGGGAGCTATTTTTATCTCTGCTCTTAACTCCTGTGCCCCAGGAACAATGTGTGGGTCTGGAAGCCTCGCTTTCTTGGGCTTATCTGATTGGATGACACCAGGATGTTATTTTTTTCTCCCCACCTCCATGTCAAGCCAAGTCCCAGGTGGTGCAATGCTGCCTTACTATAAAGAGTGCATGGTGTTGCAGCCACAAACTTGCTTTTTATCTTTTTAAAAAATAATAATTTATAATATAAAATACAAAAATGCAAAAGAAAATAGTAGAAAAGATAGGGGAGAGAAAAAAGAAGGGAAAAGTGTAGGAAAAGTAGGAAAACAAAAGAAAAGGCATTGACTTCTGACTCTCTGATGCAGTAGATTAAGATAACAGCATCAAATCTCAACTTTTTACTTTTACATAATAGTATAAACTAGCCATTTCTATAACAACAAACCTATAAAAACTGATAGATTTTTTTTCCACCTTGAGCACAAAATTCAGAAGCAATTTCCAAATAAAAACAAAAGTAATTGTGTTGTTTTCCCTTTTGATCAAAGCATTCAATGCAGCCATCTCTTG